ATCATCTTTTATATACAGATTAAATTAACGTGAATGAAATTATTTGAAGGGTATTAGGTAATTGATTGTAAATAAGTAGATAAATATTTATGTTCATAATTTTAATTCTAATAATTAACGTTAATAAATTATCTTTATACTCACCAACTAATAATGTGAATGAAATGATTTGAAGGTATTCGATACGTAATTGTAAATAAGTATTTAGCAATAATATTTATATTCATGATTTTAATTTCAGATTAACATTAATAAATCATCCTTATACTCATAAACTAATTTAATGTGAATAAAACAATTTGAAGGGCATTTGGTAAATAATTGTAAATAAGTATTTAGCGATAGTATTTATAAATAAGTATTTATGTTCATAATTTTAATTCTACTGATTAACGTTAATAAATCATCTTTATACTCACGAACTAATTTAATACCAATAAAATAATTTGAAGGGTATTAGACAAGTAATTGTAAATAAGTATTTAGAGATGTGTATTTATGAATAAGTATTTACGTTCATGATTTTAATTCCACTGATTAATGTTAATAAATCATCTTTATACTCACAAACTAATTTAATATGAATAAAATGATTTGAAGAACGCTCTTTGAATATTTCTTTGTACTCCAAATCTATTTCGATAACAATTAGCAAGATTAGATATTCCACGAATATCATTCAAATTAGCAGCCTTTTTGTAGCATTCAAACGTTTTATGTTCATCCTTCTTGACTCCGTTTCCATTACGATAAAAATTACTGAGATTATTCATTCCTACAGTATCACCTATTTCAGCAGATTTTTTATAATAAATGAATGCCTTATGTTCATTCTTTTCAACTCCTTTTTCTTAAAGTGAGACATGTAATAGGAATACGTTTCATAAGTTTATTATATACTTTGCTTGTTGCACTTTTTTTGTTTGGTGCTTTTTTAATCTTTCCCATATCAGCAGATTTTTAATAATAAATGAATGCCTTATATTTATCCTTTTCAATTCCGATTCCTTTGTTATAACAATACCTAACATTATTTGCTCCTAAAGCATGTCCCATATTAGCAGATTTTTTAATAATAAATGAATGCCTTATGTTCATCCTTTTAAATACCAATTCCTTTGTCATAACAATAACTAACATTATATGTTTCTGGAGCATTTTTTGTTTGGTACTTTTTTAATCTTTTCTGTACTTGATGCTCAAACTCTTGCGAAAAATCATACTAGCTTTGAATTACATCATGTTTTGCATTTGCTTCATTTTTTTCTATATGTAAAACATTATTAAAAAGTTGTACTAAAATTGGATCATTATCATTATTAACAATGTATCCATATCAGCAGATTTTTTATAATAAATAAATGCCTTATGTTCATCCTTTTCAATTCCGATTCCTTTGTTATAATGATAACTAACATTATTTTTTCCTAAAGCATTACTTATATTAGCAATTTTTGATAATAAATAAATGCCTTATGTTTATCCTTTTCAATTCCGATTCCTTTGTCATAACAATACCTAACATTATTTGCTCCTAAAGCATGTCCCATATCAGCAGATTTTTTATAATAAATGAATGCCTTATGTTCATCCTTTTAAACACTAATTCCTTTGTCATAACAATAACCAACATTATATATTCCTGGAGCACTACCCATATCAGCAGATTTTTGAAAATAAATGAATGTCTTATGTTCATCTTTCTCAATTCTGATTCCTTTTTTATAACAATAACCAACCATAAGTGTTTTGCTAACATGACCCATAACTTATCAGTGACTTTTTGATAATAGATGGATGCCTCATGTTTATTTATCTCAACTCCAGTTCTATAATAATATTTTTCACCTAATATGTATAATTCGTCTGCTTTTATTTTTTAAGTATGTGACTGCTTCCGTTTTTTTTTTTTTGCAATTTTATCATCATAGCTATGTATAACGTTTCATAATATAAAACAATGCATTATGTGTATTAACCAAGATTTAACTTATGAATAATTTATATAACATAATATAAAATAAAATTTATTCTATAAAATCTTTTTAACTAGAAAAAAATGAACAAAAAAGAATTGCAATGCCGTAAAGCCATAATGCTGCAATGCCGTAATTAGAGAAGTCACCTAAACCTGATGGTTTTGGCATGTGGCCAAACCCAAATAGCCAAAACTATTTTAGGACTTGGTCGAAATAAAATCCCAAACTATAATGATATAACAATAATAAATGTCACAAATTATGGTGAGATTAGATAATTCTATTGGCTAAATTTTGCAGATCACCCTATCCCTAACCAATAAGAGTTCTTAATCTCACCATCATCCAAATCTCATCATAATCTGTGACAAATATTATTAAAAGAATCTTTATCAGTTATATTAATTAAAAAGTGACACTGCATTTATTAAAAGTATCGTTATATTAATTAGAAGTGTCATTATATTTTTAAGGTATCATTATTTATTAAAATAATCGTTATACTGTATTAAATTAAAAGCAAAAATTTTATTATTGGAATTTGAGCATTTGGGATTTGGGACAGTATTTGGGATTTGGGATTGCATTTGGGTTTTACAAAAGCTCAAATTCTGACTGAAAATAGCCGTAAGTGTCAAAACAATGCTGAAATAGTTTGAGTAACATCTCTAGCTATAATGCCATAATTAGGGAATAGATTCTAAAAACTTCGATCGGTGATCAAATTACTAATAATCAATTTATAATCGATAATCGAATCCTACATATATGTCGTTATTACTTATTTTAATCTTGAACAGTATTTTTAACCTAATAATTATAAAATAATAGATTTTTATAGTATTAGAATACCGTACAAGGTTTTTAATATTTATTATTTATATATCAGTTTTAGAGGTTGGATTATTCGGATAATAAAATTATGAACAGATATAGATATCGAATAATGTGTTTATTTAACAGATAATTATCTTTAAATAAACAAATTATCCAAATACAAACAATATTAAAATTTAGTTCATTACAACAAACCAATTTTTTATCAGGGTTTAGTTTAATTTATCAACAAATATAATTTTAAATTTAGTGATCAAATGCTTGGATCTGGAGACCAAATTTTGGCTTAAGTTCATAAATTAGCCGTAATGTAAAAATATAAATATTTTAGTTTCAGCCTACAGTCGCAGAATTACAGTATTATAAGTATTATGGGTATTATGGCATTGCAGCATTATGGTTTACGGCATTTACGGCATTCAGATTCTTTGCTATATATATGTACGGCATTACGGCATTATGGCATCTGCTGTAATTCAGCAATTATAGCAGCAACTATAAGATTTTGACTATCAGAATTTTGACTATTCGGGATCTTAACTGTTCAGGATTTTGAATATCAGGATTCTATACTGTCAGGATTCTGTTTTTGTCGGGATCTTGACTTGTCTATATTTTATCTTAGTTGGGATTATAGTTGTTGGGATTATGTATTGTCAGGATTTTGGAAGTCATGATTTTGTGGTAAAACTGAATTAGTTCAAGATTAACTTTGAAACTGTGAACTGTTCAAGATTGACTTTGAGGATCATGAACTAGTTCACGATTGACTTTGGGGATCATAAACTAGTTCATAATTGACTTTGAGGTCATGAACTAGTTTATGATTGACTTTGAGGACCGTAAACTAGTTCATGATTGACTTTGAAGACTGTGAACTAGTTCACAATTGACTTTGAGAACTATGAACTAGTTCATAATTGACTTTGAAGACCATGAACTAGTTTATAATTGACTTTGAGAACCGTAAACTAGTTCATGATTGACTTTAAAAACTATGAACTTGTTTATAATTGACTTTGAGAACCGTAAACTAGTTCATGATTAACTTTAAGGATCATAAACTAGTTCATAATTGACTTTGAGAGCTATGAACTAGTTCACGATTGACTTTGAAGACCATGAACTAGTTTACAATTGACTTTAAGGACCATGAACTAGTTCATTTTTGACTTTAGAACAGTATTAGAAATTTCAGCTTGAAATACTGTTCTCATAAGAATAGTAAAACACTTTTTAGTGTTCTTAACTATTATTTGGTATTTATATAAAAAAAAAACAATTACTATACAACTAATTAGAAGAACTTGAATACATACTCTTGTTGATCTGTTTCTGAATTTTCTGAACTGTCTTAGTTATTAAATGTATTATCTGAATTAAATAGATACTTTATTTATTACAGTATATCTAATAATTCACTTTACCTTTTCGATCTTAATTCTGAATATTTCTGAGATATGTGGTCAAGTTAAATATATTAAAATATGCAAAATAAATGATTGTGTTAGATTAATATTCAAACTAAAATTAAATAAATGATTATATCAAATATGTAGTTGAGTTAAATATATTAAAATATGCAAAATAAATGACTGTGTTAGATTAATATCCAACCTAAACTTAAATAAATAATTATATCAGACATATGGTCGAGCTGAATATATTAAAATATGCTAAATATATTAAATATGCCAAATATATTAACATATTAAAAAGTGTTAAATATATTAAAATGTGCAAAATAAACGATTGTGTTAGATTAATATTTAACTAAAAAAATAAATAAATGATCATATCAGATATATAGTCAAGTTAAATATATTAAAATATGCAACATAAACAATTGTGTTAGATTAGTGTTTAAACTAAAATTAAGTAAATGATTATGTTAAGTCATTATATCAGATATGTGGTCGAGTCAAAAATAAAGAAAAAGAATAAATAATATTATAATTCTTCGCATATAACTTTATATGTTTTTTTCTACTTATTTATATTATATCATACCTTTTTATATTTTTTTTCTATTTTTTTATTAAAAATTGCTTTTTAACCTTATTATACTTGTTTTAATACCTTTTTTTATACCTTCTTATATTTCTTTTTTATCTTTTTACCTTATATTGCTTTTTCTCTTTGCTCTATTATTTTTTTGAATTGCTTTTTGCTTTACACTTGATGATGGAAAATTTGATAGAATCTCCTAATAACATCATTTCTAGTATCTCAATACCAAATGAAATCGGAACAGAAGTTGTTGGTAATACATATCGTACTAAGGATCACTGGATAACTACAATGTATAATAATCAAAATGTTTGGCAATGCTTGCATTGTCAAACAAAGAAATATTCAATAAATACTAGTAGAACACATTTAAAAGAACATACTATAAAGTGTCCTAATTCCCCACTAATGGATACCCAGAATGATGCGTTCCAGCAAATTATAAAAGAAGAGATAGATAAGTTAATAGTTGATTTAATTGTTAGAACAGGAATGTCCTTCAATGTTCTTGAAAATCCATTATTCCATAAAATGGCTAGGAATCTTCAATATGTTAAAAAGTCATACAAAGTCCCACATCCAACTACAATATCACGCTATATTAGTGGAAATATATTTAATTTAAGATTCAATTTCATTAAAAATATTTTAGTTAAATTCTCTGGACGAATATCACTAACATGTGATGGGTGGCATTCGACTATTCATAAATGTCATTACATTGTCATTACAGGATCATGGGTTAGTGACAATTGGAAAATAGTCAATATAATTTTAAGTTTTCAACAATCAGGCCAAACAGCAAACGAAATATTATCAGTAATTAAAAACACCTTAGATGAGTATTCCATTAAAGAAAAAATATTTGCACTCACTATGGATAATACTACTACAAATAAAGCTGTAAGTCGGTTGCTTCAAAATGAATTGCCGAATATAATATCAATAGGTTTGATTATTATTTTAAAATTTTTCATTAATTTTAAATTTTAAATTTTTTTTTATTCAAGGATGTATGTGTCATATTCTCAACTTTATTGTTAAAGAGGGCCTAAAAAAAATCTGTCTACTACAAAAACAAGTTCACGATATTATAAAATATTTAGCTAATCCTTTGAGTAGTGGTAGATTAGAGATATTAGAATCATATTGTATAATTTTGGGAATAAAGTTTTTGCGACCTGTTCTTGAAATAAATACACGTTGGAATTCTACATTAGCTATGTTTGAAAGATATCTGTATCTACATTCAGCAATTTCTGAGATGTGCTTGAAAGACCCATCTATGCCTCCCTGTTTAGATCATGAAAGCTTCTTAATTCTTGAATCCTTCTGCCAATTCCTTAAACCATTTGAAAAGGCTACTTTAATTCTCTCTAAAGAACAATCTAATTCAATCTCTAATGCAATAATAATTATATTAGAAATTTGTCAACATATTAATCAAATTAGAAATAATGACATGATCTACAAAATGAAAAAAAAATTTGAAAAATATTGGGATGTAATAATTGAACATGTAATAATTGCTTATGTTCTTGATCTAAGGTATAAGCTAGATCACTTAAAAGCAATTTTAATTCAAGTTGGTAGATATAGTAAAAGTGATGCAGAACTATTTGTTGATAATATTCAGCAAAAAATTATTTCTAATGGAATTAAATATAGTATCGCAGAATCTTCAAATATTGAAACTGTTGAGAATAACTATTTTGGTTTCTTATTTCCTAGAAAAATTTCAAACAAATGAAGATGCATAGGTACAATAGAATATGAATTAGAATTATATGAAAGAGTGCCTCTTGAAAATTTTTCAAATAATAATGAAAAAGAAGAAAATAAAGGAATATTAATTTGGGAATCATTATCATATAGATTCCCAGTGCTTAGTAGAATGGCACAGGATTATTTAAGTATCAAACTATCAAGTGTTTCTAGTGAGAGGGTATTTTTAAAAGCTAGTTTTACAATCACTAATGATAGAGCAAATATTAGTGAAAAAACTGTTTCTAGCATAATACTTATGCATTCATGGCTAGTAGAAAGCCAAAATGAATTTAGTCCTCTTAATGCTCTTCTATAAAATTTTTAATATATAGATATATAGTTATTTTTATAACTCTGTTTACTCTGCTATATGATTATATGTATTATAATATTACTACATTGTTATTATATGATGAAATATTTATTAATAATATTTTTATTAGTATTTTTAATAGATTTGTGATTATTTTTTTAATATATAGATCTAAATTGTATCCTAAACAAATAAATTACTAAGCTTTAATAAACAGTTATTGTTATTTATTTTATTAATAATTTGATAAGTATCATTACTTAATATTTCTAGAGATGTTAAAAGTTTGATCTGATCTTTAAAAAGTATAGTTTTGAACTAGTGGTTTAATATACTGTATTAAACATTCTATAATATCTTGTAAGTCTTTAATGTAATAGTTATCTACTAGATCTCTAATTGCAAGATTACTAATAAAGTTTAGTAAAGAATAACAACTATCAATTGTAGATTAGCTATAGTCAAGTAATGCACTATAAAAAAAAAGTATACTACTAGCATCCTAGAATACACTAGGTTTAAGTTAAAAAAAAGGTCAAAAACAAGTAAATACAGAAGTAAATTAAAAAAAAATTATAGTTAACCAAATATCAAATCATCTTAGGAATATAATAAATATACCGTATATAGACAGAAGTTTAAATTTTTGAAGATCTATACATGAATATTATTACTATTAGAAGATGAAAACCTTATAAA